ATTAGGGAGTAGGTGGGTGCTGTTGGCATGGCAACCACACAAGCCATCTTCTGTCCTCTGTGCGAGAAAAAAAAAATATATATATATATATATATATATTCACACACACACACACACACACACACACACACACAGCTTTAGGACTGCAACAGCAGAAACCAAGAGGTGGATGGTAGCCGTTGCCATGGCAGCCTGCTGCCTCCGGAGCCTGCCAGCTGCCACCCTATTTCTCCACTTTTCTTGCAAAATGAGGAGTTGAGAGATTAGGACCTGCCTCCCACAGTGAGGGGGAGTAATGAAGCATGCGTTTTAATTAGAAATGGCTCACAGATGATGGGAATTTGTATTTTAAGAGAGGACACACCCCCAAAGCACAGGGCTATTTACAAATCCATTTGGGGATCTTGTGAAATGGGGGACTGTTGATATGGCTCACCTGGGGCAAGGTCTGAGCCCCTGAATTTATATTTACTTCTTATTTATTTAAATTTGAAAGGTGGGCCTGGTGCAATAGTGTAATGGTTAAGGTCCTCGCCTTGAATGCACCGGGATCCTATATGGGTGCCAGTTCTAATCCCGGCAGCTCCACTTCCCATCCAGCTCCCTGCCTGTGGCCGAGGGAAAGTAGCCGAGGATGGCCCAAGGGTTTGGAACCCTGCACCCGTGTGGGAGACCTGGAAAAGAAGTTCCTGGTTCCTGGCTTCGGGTCAGCACAGCACCGGCCGTTGCGGTCACTTGGGGAGTGAATCATCAGATGGGAGATCTTATCCGTTTCTTCTCCTTTCTGTACATCTGCCTTTCCAATAAAATAAATAAATCTTTAAAAAAAAAACTTGAAAGGTATATACACAGAGAGAGAGAGATTTTCCACCCCAAATAATTGAAATGGCTGGAACCAAGCTGATCTGAAACCAGGAGTCAAGAACTTCTTCCATACCTCCCACAAGGGTACAAGGTCATCCCCAACTGCTTTCCCAGGTCACAAGCAGGGAGCTGGATGGGAGGTGGTGCCTGCCAAGATTAGCACTGGCAGCAATATGGGATCACGGCACGTTCAAGGTGAGGACTTAAGCCACTTTGTTACCGTGCTGGGCCCATCAAATAAATTAAATTTTAAAGACATTGCCCATGGTATACATTTTGTGCAAAAACATAAGAAAATATCAACAGAAGAAGATAATTTTTGGGGGAGAGAAATGGCCTAGAATCCTCAAGCCTGTCTGCAGGTCTCCCACTGACAGGACAGCTTCCATGCAATGTTTACTATGTTTCTTAAACATTTTATATTTGGGGGAAGGGTGTGGGCGCCTGGCATTGTATTATAATGAGTAAAGCCTCTGGCATGCCATATGGGTGCCAGTTTGCGTCCCGGCTGCTCCACTTCTGCTCCAGCTAATGCGCTTGGGAAAGCAGCAGATGAGAGCTCAAATGCTTAGGCACCTCCATCCAATGTGACATCTATTTTTTGGCTTGTCCCATCCCAGTCCTGGCTATTGCAGCTATGTCGGGGGGAGTAAACCAGCCGTCGGAAGGAATTAAGCAGGGAGACCCAGCACAAGTGTGGTCATTGACTAGTTCATTTCTCCAATGACCACGACCAACTAAGAGTTCAAGCAGGTCTCCCACAGGGGTGGCAGGACCCTCCATGGCCCTGCACTGGTGGGAAGCTGCACGCAGGAGCCAGAGCTGGGAATCAAACCCAAGCTCCTGAGCAACCAGGACAATGCCTACTGCCCTGCTCTCTGGTGCTCCTGATCCCCCTTCGCTGATCACCAGCACTATAGAGCATTAGCCCTTTGGCTACACCTGTCACAAAGATGCTACATCCAAGCAAATCCTCACAGGGACACTGGCAGAGCCTGCAAGGTCACTGGGTCTCAGGTCTGTGACTTGTTCTTGGTGGAACCATCTGGACTGTCCCCATCTCCTCATGTTCCGTCTGTTCCCTTCACGGATAAGCCAGATGCTGGGTCCTGGTTGGATGGACCCCCGAGATGGGAGACCTGCAGAATCGGAGTCTGCATCGATGGCTGTCGGCTCATTCTGTCCCAAGCCTAGGTACTGCATCCTTTCCCCATCCTCCCCACCCCTCTTTGGACCCATGAGCTCCGTGTCACCTGAGGTGGTACCCCGCTTGTAACTCACATGGCAAGTTGGCTTTGTCCATGCAGTGCTCCCAACCACGGGCTTCAGGTATGGAATGTGATCACACAAGGCCCTGGAGTTCACTCCATGGGCTCGGCATTCCCGCCTGCCCTCAGCTCTGGCTCAGTGTCTCCTGGGAAAACAGCTCAGGCTGTGGGAGGTTGTGGCTGCTCTCCTTGGGTAGTACTCACTGCTCTGCCACACTGCTGAAAGCTAAATGACTGCCCTGGTAGATCCCACGCTGTCTTCTGCATTTATCTTCCTCCACTTGCTCTGCTCCTCTACTCTTACTTCTGGTCCCTCTCCAGTCCTCAAGGCTTGCCCTGTCCTTTTCATAACTTGTTATTTTTATTAAAAAGGTAGAGGGGTTAAGGGCCAGTGTTTTCTTTTTTTTAGGCCACCTGCGATACTGGCATCCTGTACAGGTGCCGGTTTAAGTCCTACCCTGCTCTGCTTCTCATCCCAGTTCCTTGTTCATGGTGCCTGGGAAAGCAACATCGGTTGGAACAAGTGCTTGGGCCCCTGCCACTCTGTGGGAGTAGACGCAGATGGAATTCCAGGCTCCTGGTTTCATCCTGTCTTAGCTTAACCCTGGCTGTGGAGGGTATCTGGAGAATGTGTGATACATCTGGTTCTCCCTCTGCTAAAAAAAAAAAATATAATAAAGGCAGAGATAGAGAAAGATCTTGCATTCATTGGTCTACTCGGCACAATGTCTACAACATCCAGAGCTGGGCCAGGAGCCAGAAGCCCCATAGGGTCTCCCAGGGTGTACATGGGCAGAACACAAGAATCAGGACTTGTACCCAGACACTGCGACACAGCAGTGTCAGTACAGCAGACCGGCACTAACCTGCTTGCCATTTGGGGGAGTGAACAGATGGATGGGCGATCTCTCTCTCTTTAAAAGAGTTCTTTATTGGAAAGGCAGACTTAAAGAGGACAGAAAGATCTTACATCCACTGGCTCATTCCCCAACTGTCTACAGCAGCTGGAGCTGAGCCGATCCAAGGTCAGCAGCCATGAGCTTCCTCTGGGTCCCCATGTGGGTGCAGGGTCCCAAGGCTATGAGCCATCCTTGACTGCTGCCTTTCCCAGGCCACAAGCAGGGAACTGGGTGGGAAGTGGAGCAGCTGGGAAATGAACTGGCACCCAAATGGGATCCTGTCGCATGCAGAGTGAGGATTTAGCCACTAGACTATTGTGCTGGGCTCAGATCTCTTAAAGAATGAAGAGGAACCATTCCTCTTGTCCGGCCTCCTGCTGGCGACCTCTTGGCTTGCCTCACTGGCCACTCTCACATGTCATCCTGTCCCACAGCGGAGGTGCTGATCACCACCTGTGGCCTTGCCTTTGGGTGGAGGTGGTGGCATTTGCTCCTCTCTTCATCTCACCTGCTGCTGTTTCTTTGGTTGGCTTCTGTGTGCAGCAGCTGTAATCCATGGCTTGGTGGAACAGGTGGGCACGGGTGGTGTGGGGGGTACAGGGACTCACTGCTTTCATTTCCTCAGAAGTACTGGTGACGAAGTGGCTTCATGACTGGACATACCCAGTGCAGTCAAGACTGTCCCCCAGAGCAAAGTAGAAACGAAACTAAACCCTTGTCTGGCTCAGCTGGGGTTTGAATGGACACAGTCCCACCCAGCATCTCTGCACGTTGCTGGTTCCATCCCAGCAAAGCCCAAGTGCCTGCCGAGGCCATCATTCACTTCTCACCATGCAGCTAGCAGGCAGCGGTCCCCAGCAGCCCCACAGCAATGATCCCGTGCCCCCTGGTCTGCCTCCCAGCCAGCCACGATGGTCCTTACCTTGTATACAAACATCCACTGTGCGGCCACCCACTCCGTATGGCACTGGGATTACATGGCCAGGGTTCCTACCAGCACTGTGTAGGCTGCCGTGTCCACCACATACGGTGCCTGTTTCCCAGCCAGTGCAGGAAGGCAGAACAGAGAATGGCCAGAGCACAGCCTCCCTCCTGCACCACATTTCAGAAAGCAGACATAAAGGATGAGAGGGACGGAGGAAATAGAAGTGACTGTCCATTCCACAATGATGAAAAGCACCTGCCTGTTTCCTGTGTGGGCCCTCAGTGCCGAGGGGCCTCCCCAAGTGGCCAAGGATTGGGGGTGACGAGGATGAGGTCCCCATCCCACCCCATCCCACCTCTCAGGGTCCCTGCGAGCCTGCAGCTGGAGGGCTTATGATTCAGCTTGCGGAACCACACCGTCCATGGGCCCTCACGGGGCTGTCATCACGTGAGTCCTTGGGTCCTCCTAGGCCTGGGGAACTCCCTGGCCCTGCCCTGGTCAGGACCTGCAGCTCTGGTGGTGGGGGATGGGTGGGAGAAGCAGTGCTCAGACCTCATCAAAAGTGAAGCAGAAGGCAAGGAAAAGGGAACTCCTATGGGGCTGGTTTTGGCGCCCACTCTCACTCCACTCTGCAGGTGGACTGGACAGGACAGGGATCTGACCACTGCCTCCCACAGCCTCTGCTGGCTGTAGATGCCATGGCCCCTTCCTCCCAGCCTTGTGGCCTGTCCCCTGGGCCACAGCTGACAGCATGTGGGCAGTGAGAGCAAGGCTTTGGCAGGATGTTGCCGGCCCCCACACCCCCTGAAAAAGGTGTGATGTGGCATAAGCCCTCCACTCTGACCAGTGTCCTCCTCAGCCTACAGGTGATTTGTGGGTGGGGAAGCGGGGTAGGAAGGGAGGGAGGGAGGGAGAGAGAGAGAAATTCTTCCATCAAGAACAAGAACTCCACCCTGGTTCCCCATGTGGGAGGGTAGACCAAGTCCTTTTGGCAGGTGCCAAAGTATTTGGGTTATCAGCTGCCGCCTTCCAGGGAGCTGGGTGTAAGCAGAGTGGCTGGGTCTGGAACCAGAGCTGATGGCGATGTGGCACTGTAAGCAGCAGTGTCACATCATGACCCCAGTGCAGCTGGCTCCATTCTGACCCAGGCTCTTGCTCATGTGTCTGGGAGTTAGCAGATGATGTTTTGAATGCTTAAGTCCGTGCCAGCCAGGTAGGAAACCCGGATGGAGCTTTGGGCTCCTGGTGTCAGTCTGGTTGGTTGGTCTCTGGTGGGCACATGGGGAGGACCAAGGGATGGAGGGTCTGTCTCTTGTCTCTTGATGAGCCACCATAGCTAAGACTCTGGTGCTGAGCAAAGTGGGCAGTTTACACTTGCGTTCTGTAGGCTCTGGACCACACTGAGGACTAACCCAGGAGAAAGCGTCTGCCACAACTCTCCCACAAGGGCTGCAGAGACCCTGCCAGAAACTTCCAGATGGGGCTTGATGAGCTCATATCCCTGGATGGTACTTGTGACAGGTTTCTCTCACAAAATGAACAGAGAAGCAGTTACTCTGGTTAGCAGGCACTTGAGTGACACCTCAGAGAAAGGCAAAACCATACACAAAAGCCAGAGTGCCCAGCTAGGAGGCTCCAGGCCCAACCTGTGAGCTGTTGATCACCATCAACAGCACATGGTGCAAGTGGCAGCTGGACCTGCCGGAGGCCAGGAGCTGTTACTCACGGAGAGGGGGCGGGCTCAGGGGTCTACCCCATCCTCTCTTTCTGCGCTGCGTCCACCACACATCCCAGCACCTTCGCTAATGCCTGATGACAGGAAGCCACAACTGCCTAGCCTGAGCAAATGGGATGCCTGGGACCTCTGCCCCTGTGTGTGTGGAGTAGGGGTGATAGGGGTGGTGTCAAGTTCAGAAGGAGAGATGCACGCGGAACAGCCTCCCGCCCCCTATGCATATCCAAGGGACGGAAGAACTTCTGGAAACTCCATCATTAAGTCGAGGGAAGCCAGCAAGGAAAACTAATGGGAAGAAAATAGACAGTTTCATATTTTCAGGCACAAAACTGCAATTCAACTAGACATGCACGGTACTAGGTTATTTTTGGTAATACAGGGACACAATTTAATGATTCTAATTTTTTTTTGGTAGAGTTTTTTTTTTTTTACAAGTCAGGTGCCATAAACATTCAAATAATCCATCTTTTAAAAAGTACGTTTTACAACATCAAAAGAATTAAGATGAAATAGAAACCTTTCTACTTACAAGTTTTATACAGATTAACCAAATCACAAATACCACAAATAAATGTTAAATCGTAACAAGATAATGAATAAACATTCAGATTCTTAATAAAATCTTCCTTTTACTTTTTTTTTTGTTTTTGTTTTTAAACTTACCATTATACTAAATAATCTATGCAGAGTTGTGGGTGGGGTACAATACCAAGAAGGCACCAACCAGTACAAAGCAGAAACAGAGCAGTTCCAGAATGTTCTCGAGCGCTCGAAAAGGATAAAACAGCACAGAAAAGGCAATGGGCTTTAGGGGAAGGTGCTGCAACCCCAAGAGAACTGGTTCTGGGGTCCCAGCTGCTGCTGACCCTCTGTGGGGAGCTAGCTAGCTGGGGAGAGGCCAGGGCAATTTGGTCTTCCCTGCCCTGCTCCCCACCCCTCCAAACACCAGCGCAACCGTTTGCAAGCCATAGACACTCTGAAGGATGTACGCGGCAGGATTGTTTGGGTTTGCAAAACCACTGCTTTTTACAAAAATATCTCGCTTACACTTGGGATTGCTTCGGAACATTAGTTTACAAATATAAAAGTATCACGGGGTGGGGAGACTCAAAAGCGCATGTGCATACCGTGTGTGTGTGTGTGTGTGTGTGTGTGTGTGTGTGTGTGTGTGTGTGAAGGTACTGCTACTGTAGCAGAGAAAAGCGACCAATGTAAACAAAACACGGACATCAGCAAATCAGGATAAAGCAGTCTCCTCCAGAGGGTGCGACTGTTGTGTGGCATGCGGGCCCCGGGCAGGCAGGACACCTTGGCCCTTCCTGAGACACGAATGTCCCAGCTGTGGGGGCCGGGGGAGCCCTCAGCAGCCTCCAAGAGGTGCTGCAGAGTGTGGACACACAGAGTATGTGCTGCGCTTCGGGCACGGGGAGACCCTTCCAGCCGGACGGCCACTGCACCGTTCCCTGCCACTGCCTGACCTGTCCCTTCAGCTCCTCAGGTATGTGTCTCAGGACTTGCTTAGAGCATTGGAATGTTTCAATGGGAAAGTTTATTTATTTATTTATTTATTTATTTATTTGCTTTACAGTTTAGACACCAAAGAGGCCGTCAGCTTGAAAGCCAAGCCGGGCAAGGTCCCCGCGGAGGTGGCTGACACCCACCGGCAGGGATGGGATGACTGCCTCACCTGTGGAAGAGCCCACAGCAGGAGTGTCTCATGCTTGACAGCTGGTGCGCTCAGGGTCGCACTGCGGACTGGACATCCTCTAGGAAGCGGGGCGTGCTTTCAGAATGCTGTGAACCCCCACCCGCCGACCCCAATAAGCACCAGCAAGGGGCCGGCAGGAGCCCATGGCCCTGAGCGATTTGTAGCCAAGGCCATGGTTTCATATGGGGACCACAAATTAACCCCATAACAGTACTAGCACTCCGTCTAAAAGTACACAGAAACACAAGTAGTGAGATGGGCAGTGACTGAAAAAAAAAGCCAACTTATCACTGTATTAACAGTGAGTGAGCTTTTTACATCCTGCCAGCATGGCGGGGGTAACTCCCAGCCCTGCTGGGATCGCAGGTAGAGTTCAGGATCAGTCAGCTAGCCTGCCTCAGCAGCAGCCCGGGGGACACACAGCAGGACCTGCTGGGAGCCGGCCAAAGATCCCAACCCCAGGGACCTGGGCTTCCGTGCGGTGTCTGAGGGAAGTGCCTGTCAGAACTGCTCTCTGCTCTGTTCTTGACCCCAGGACCTGCCCCTAGATCGTCTCATATAGACTTAAGAGAGTGTGTGTGTGTGTGTGTATGTGTGTGTGAGCTGTGTTCTCCCATCTGCAGAGCGAAAGGATCCCCATCCTCTGTCCCCAACCCTGGGATCCGTCCTTCTAGATCATCTTGTATAGACCAAAGAGAGAGAGAGAGAGAGAGAGAGAGAGAGAGAGAGAGAGAGAGAGAGAGAGAGAGAGAGAGAGAGTGTGTGTGTGTGTGTGTGTGTGTGTGTGTGTGTGTGTGTGTGCGCTCCCGTCTGCAGTGCAGGCTGAACCTGTCTGATCAGGCCTGCTGATCCAGAGGAAATCAACACTGAACTTAGGTTGGCTGTGAAGGTAAGAGAGGTACATTTATTTCCATGGATTACAAGTGCATTGCTCTTTAGATTGGCAGGCAGTCTTTATAGAACCCATTCTCCACTGCTGTCAAACAAACAAAACAAAACAAAACAAACAAAAACAACAAGAAAAAAAGGACAGCTGAGAAATGAAATTTTAAAAACCAGTTGCTTTGTCTCCCACGGAACACAGCTGAGAGACCACAACAGGCTGTTCGCTTTGACCCCAGGCTCGTGGCGCCTGGGCAGCGGGCTCTGCACAGGGAGCTGTTGACAGTCATGCGAGGGCACAGGTACTTAGGGGACAAGGCAGATTTCTCACCACAGAGAGCAGTGGGGGAGTTGGAGGAGGCACCGCACTGGGACAGACACCAGGTCAACTCCACGGCACAGAGCGGCGGGCACGGATGCTCAGAGAGAGATTAGGAATCCGTGGAGCGTGAGTGTGAGCGCTCCCTTGACGCTCTCCACTCAGCAGTATCAGAAGTACCGGGGGGAATGGGACGGGGGACACGTGGCAACTGCATCAGGAGCTCACGGAGGCTGTGTCACAAGTTTAGTATACCGCAGGCTGAGAACGGGACCGGAGCGGTGGACATGCTGCAGGAGGAAAAAAGAACCGTACAACTTTCTCATTTGAACACGCAGTGTTCCTCTCTGCTAACCCTTGGGAAGGGTTGGCCGAGGTTCCCTGAAACTCGGCCTGAGTCCATTCCATTCTTCTCCAGAGACTTGCTACATGGCACAGGGCCCACCACCTTCGTCCACCTCCCGCCAGGCGTGGAGTGAGGCCACCGCCTTCCATGACTCTGTGTGCATCTCACAAACACAGCATTGTGTGGGAGGCAGTGTGGCAAAGGTTGAGCCTCAACAGACAGTGTCAGCAACCACAGGCCATTGGTAGGAGGATGCTGCTGGGCACAGTAAGGACTTTCTTTGTATTTAGAGAGCACAACTGGATTGTGCTGCAAGTTGGGCTAACGGCACATACCTTAAATATGTTGTGACTAACAGGACAGGAGGACCGGGGTTTGGGGCCTGTGCTTCCGGAGACCTCACAGGGCAGGAGCACTTGCTGCCATGCTACCCTGAGCCATTCCTGTAGGCTCCTGGCCAACAGTCATGGTCAGACATGAAGTGCAAACTCGGGGCTGCTGCACCCTGGGCATCAGCCCTCCCCATCATGCCATGAAAAGCAGTGACTGGCACCCGCCTGCAGGGAGCCTCACGCTGGCAGGGTTGCGGGCATCAGCAGGTGTCACACACAGGAGAAGGAGGAACCACTGCATCTTCCAAACCAGAAAGCGGATAGTGACTAAAGTGATGAGGAGCAGCCGTGCTGCTGCTGGTCACCGCTGGGCGACACATATGGGGGGCGGGGTCTGTGTGTGTGTCAGGAGACACTCTCTGGACGGAAGGAATTCTTGGAAAGCATGAAAGCCACAACTATCAGAAACTGCCCCTCCACACAGCTCAAAGGAGTTAGGGTGGGGAAGCTGGGATGGCTGGAGGCAGGACCAGGGGTCAGGGACCGGAAAGAAGAACACCAACGTGGGAGCGCGTCCAGTCCTCGGAGGCCTCGTGCTGCCAAAACACAAACACACACGATGCGTCAGGACAGGCCAAGTCCCGACTGACCGGCAGGCATCATGGGCTGCAGGGCCCAATGACACAAGCGGAGCAGCTGGGGAGGGAGAAGAAATGCTGCCTGAAGCAAGGCCCCGTCCACCTGTGGGCAGTTCTGGTCTCACTTGCTGGCCTCTATGAGCAAGCCACATCTGCTCCCACAATGGGTGGACCTCAGCAGCCTCTCCAGGGGATGCCACCGTGCTCTTACACGACACAGAAACCTATGCCTCCTGCTTCCAGCAAGCCTTCTCTCTGCTTGGGGGCTGCATGCTCTGTGAGAGCAAGCACACCTGGCTGCAGCTGCCTCCCCACCAGCCTGCACGCATCACGTTAGGAAAGCGACATCCTTGCCCCTGTTACTCAGAGAAGCCATGCTCCACGCTCCACGCACACCACAGTGGCTCACACACTGCCGAGGCTGCCCACACCTGGAGAGGTACCGGGCACCCGCTGCACGCGATGGCTAACTCGACGGCCGCTTTCCACACATGCTGTACCTTCCCTGGAGGCAGCAAGGACACTGCCCGTCAAACCACACTCCGTGCTCTGTGGCTCTGGTGAGGGAGCTGGGGTGAGACGACTGGCGGGTGACATTTGACCAGATGTATCAAAATGTGAACACAATATTCCCTTCTCTGGAGACTCTCACTGGTGTAAAAATGCTGGCTAATAAGAACATCTCGCCGTGTCACTCTGAGAAGATCCACAGGACAGGTAGATGAGGAAGATGGTCAAAGCCTTTCCATCTCCCTCAGTCTCGCAGGGCAGGGCAGGGCAGGGCAGGGAGCAGGCGGCTTGGGTGAGAATTAACCGGTTCCAAGGTATTAACCATATTAACCCGTCAATTCCTTCAACTGATCCCTCTGAGGGCCACGACGTTTGCTCTCATTCACTCATGAGAAAGAGACACAAAGAGAAAGGTACACGCTCCCATTGGCTAGCCCACTCCTCAGTGCTGCTATGGCTGGGACTGGGCTGTGAGGGGCCAGGAGCTGGGAACTCAGCCCAGGTTTCCCCCCTGGGTGCCAGGACTGGCACTAGCAGGAAGCCGGAACAAGGAGCCTAAGCAGGCATGCTGTGATGGCATGTGGGGGCTTCCATTGCTTGGCTGGCTGACCCCCGGCTCTCACACAGGAGCTTGTGATCTCACTCAGCAACAACACTCTTTCCCACGGAGGAGGACTAGGGCTATGTGGCCAGTGGGGTGTTAAGATACTGGGGTTCTCTGCCCAGCTGTGCCCCTAACATACGAATCAGAACACATGGGCAGAAACACATGTTCTTCTCTGGTGTCTGTGATCATTAACGTGGGATGCGTGCTGACTTCAGAGGAGGCTGCTGTGGCTGTCAAGATCACACGTGAAGGCAAGAACTGAGCATGTGGCCTAAGCACTGCTCCCTGCCCTACCTCCCTCTGGATTCACCTTTATATTCCAGAGGACTAAGCTGCAAGTCAGCCTAGATGGTGGTCACTTCCTTTTAAACGCACGAAAGGAAAGAAAGAAAATCCAGGTAGACTGACAGGGAGAGCAGGCAGGCAAGGACGGAAGGTCACAAGTACATGAACATTCAACTGTAAAGTCTAGGCGATGGGATCATGGACACACACTTTAAAATTCCGTCTGCTTTTCAGAAGAGTTGAGAATGTCATGAGAAGAAGGCAGGATGTGTGTGCAAGTGTCTGGTGCAATGGTTAAACGCTGGCTGTGACATACACACGCCTGATGAGAGTGCGTGGGTGTGAGCCCAGGCTCTGCTCCCAACACCAGCTGCTTGCTGACAGGCACTCTGGAGGGAGCACAGGTTCTCGCCAGCTATTCGGCGGACCCGGAATGAGCTCTTTGCTTCTGGGCATTTGGGAAGAAAACCAGTGAATAGGGACTGTCTTTCTTTTCTTCTTTTTCTTTGTAGGTTTATTTGTTTTTATTGCAAAGGCAGATCACATTTACAGAGAGAAGGAGAGACAAAGAGAAAGATCTTTTGTCTGTTGGTTTACTCCCTAAGTGGCTACATCGGCCAGAGTTGAGCTGATCTGAAGTTAGGAGCTCTCCTGGGTCTCCCACGTGGGTGCAGGGTTCCAAGGCTTTGGGCCATCCTCTACTGCTGTTCCAGCCCACAAGCAGGGAGCTGGATGGGAAGTGGAGCAGTTAGGGATACAAATAGGTGCTCAAATGGGATCTTGGTGCTTGCAAGGTGAGGATTTAGCCATTGAGCCATCGTGCTGGAACGCTACTACTTTAAATAAAACCAAACAAAACAAATACCAAAAACCTACCATGGGAAAATGTAAGTACATACTAAGCACATACTAGGGCAAATGAATGCTGCCACCTCATCTGGACCCTCACAGCTGGGCTGCCAGCGCCTCTGGCAGGCACTGGTGTGCGCCCACATCATGTAGCCCAGCAACTGCTGCTCCTGCAGACTGTCATGTGACCCCCCACGGCCCTCCTCACCACCAGCTGCAGGCTTACTGAGGTGACACCTTAGACCTAGAGGCTGCCTCTGGGGGGGCTAGGCTCCTCAGGGAGGCGGCGCCCAGGCCCAGGCTTGCCCTGTCTGCTCCAGCTCCATCCCATATGTCCTGACATCCTGGCTCTGTACAGCTACACTCCCCCTCTGACTAGCAAACAGCCCGGCCTCAGCATGGCCGTTTGCGTCTCCTTGGGGCTAGCATATGGCACTAACAGGTGTTCAATGTGACTGAGTGAATGATGGAAACTGACCCTGTGCAGTCCCAGTTGCTCCTCTACACTGGCAGTGTGCACAGCTGCTCTGGCGGGGGCCTCCTGCCTCCAGGGTGGCACTCCTGGGGGTCACAGGTATGGGTCTGGCCTGCTAATTCTGGTGTCCAGTATAGTACCTGGCACAGAAATGTGCCTGGACCCAGGGAGGAGGCGTGGGAAAAGTGGCAGGCCAAATGGCTGCAAGAAAACAGCATGACAACGGGACTGTGAAGGAGGAATAGCGAGGGACATTCTTGATCCTGAGCAGCCAGTGAAGTTCTCGGCTGCCAGGACGTGGGGTGCTGTTGCGACTACCCCCACCCACGGAATGTGTGCAAGGTCCTGACACAAACAGCCCCCGCTTGAAGCCCCTGAGGATCCAGGAGGAGCTGTGTGGCCCGGCCCATCACTGCAGGTGACAAACTCTGGCAGAGGGCAATAAGAGGGAACCTGACACAGGTGGCTCCTGCTCCTTGGAGCCATGCCAGGCTGCGCCCTCACAGCAGGTATATGATACCTGCCTCAGGTGCTGTGAGCACCTGGCCTGGCTACCCTGTACCTTGGTCTGGGAGTGTTGCTCAGGGTGTGTCCCACGTCAATGGCGGGTTAGGCAAGGGTTTCATGGTGCCACTGCCTCCCCTGAGCTTGGCCTCAGCTGTCAAGGTTGGAGAACTTCGGTGTCTTCTGGATATGGCCTGACCTCTGTGCTCTCACCCCACCACAGCCCCAGCACAGCTGCTGCACACATGTGTTGGGTAGATCGCTCACTCAGGCTCCCCTCCTTCCAGTCTTTCCTGCCAGGACAGCAGATCTCCAAAAGCCCCCAGCTATCACTCAAGCCCTCCAACCTCCAGCTCCCTGCCGCCACCTGGCTCTCAGGTGCTGCAGACTCGGCTGACCCAGTTTGCTCTTGGTTACTTGTTCCTAGCGATCCCGAGGGCGCTGCCTGCAAGTGTCACCCTGGCTTCTCAGGGAGGCAGGTGGCTCCAGATTCAGAGGCTCTGCGTGGAGGCACAGTGATTTCAGCCCCCAGCAGGCTCCTGCCATCCCCTGCCCTTCAGTTTGGAGGTGGTTCTTACCTGGCTGAGGGCCCTCGCTCACTGCGTTGACCCTGCGTAGCCCTTCCCTGCATTCTGTCCGCAGCATCTCCCCAGCTTTGCTCCACTTTCGCTCCTGGCTCTGTATTTCCCTGCTCAGGCCTACAAAGCTCTCACACAGGCCCTCTCCTCTTTCCATAGAGTCTCCAATATCTACCAATATCACCATATTCTCCCCCTCCTCACCTAGCTTTGGCCTGAGTCCACATGTCCTTGATGGACTGGCCTGGTCTAAGCTTCCTCTGGCTTCATGTGCCCACACTGGTGGTCTGAACTGAGAACCGTGTCACAGCCTCTTGAGTACGGTCCCCACTGTGGAACCAGACCCCTGCTAGGAGTGTCCTGAACAAACACCTGAACAGCCATTCCGTCTCTCTCTCGTCGAGGAAGGTGGACAGGGGCTAACTCTCTGGATTATGTAATGAATGGGGATCTGCCGTGGGACAGTCCTGAAGGGATCCCTGCCCAGACAGAGCCTTGCACACTGAAACTGCCCAAGAACAGGTGAGAGGGACAGCGCTACCATGTGTACAAGCAGTCTGCAGTCATGCCGGCTACCCCTGAGAAAGGGGCTTGAGCCATGGATGTCCCTTTGGGACATGCTGACCCAGGACAGGGGACTGTTCCCCGATGTGCTTGTGCTGGAGCTGAGCTGCGCTGATAGGAAGCTGAGTGCTGTCCATGCTGTCGAGCAAACATAGGACCCCGATGCCTGCCCCGACAGAGCGCACCTGTGCACACATCCTTGCACTAGGACTGCTCTGAAAATGTGAAGCCAGGCTGGGAAGGGCTGTGCTGTGTCCTGGCTGGGACACCTAGCCCATCCTTCCTCTCCTCTCATTGAATGCCAACAGTCTGGATGGCTCCCCCTCTTGCGTTGCCATCTTCCTGGTGCTCTCCAGACTCCATCCTCCTTCAGCTGTGACCATCATCCTATGTTCATGATTCTTAGGATTGCTGAACATTTAGAATATTATATGGTGGTCTCGGACTACAGGGTAGTTGGGTTAACTTGTTGCCTGAGGTGCCAGCATCCCACATGGGCACCTGTTGGAGTCCTGGCTGATCCACTTCTGATCTAATGCGCCTGTGAAAGCAATGGAGGATGGCCCAAGTACTTGGGCCCCTGCACACATGTGGGAGACCTGGAAGAAGCTCCTGGCTTCAGACCTGCCCAGCCCTGGCTGCTGAGGCCTTTTGGGGAGTGATTAAGTGGACAAAAGATCTGTGTCATTTACTCTCTTTGTAATTCTGTCTTTGAAATAATCTTTAAAAAAAAAAAAAGAAAGAAAGAAAATCTACCACTTTCATTTCATATTACTAGAACCTACAGGTCAGTAACAAATGCCAGAAACAAAGTATTCTAACAATGGTTAAAGATGAAGTCTAATTTCTCCAGCTTTATATGAGGCAAGAAGTAAGTTATGTTCAACTAAAGATGAATAAATTGGCTATTTTTTCCCCTTTTATTAGTATTTAGTGATATGGCCTACCCCCTACTTCCCACCCCCAACATTAAATGCATGCTTAAAGAGCCAGGTACCTGACAAATTTAAGATCTGTATCCTGGCTGGAATCTTGCAGTCTCTTCAAAAATGAGCTCCTTGAGTTTTTCCTTGGGCAAGTCATCCAATTCCATGTCAAACTTGAATGGAGCTTCGGCAATGGGCTTGAAGAGAAAGGAAACATTTCACTGTCAAAGTCGGCTGCGGCGAAGCTAGCAGCCATGACTGCCTCTGAAACATATCCAGCTGAGGGTTCGAACAACAGCACCTGTGCCCTTGTCTCCACACTCCTGGGAGCACCCAAGGATAGAATGGGGGCACGTGAACCGAGCTTGCGTGGTCTCCATCCCACCATAAGCCCAGGAGTACCCCCAGACGCCTGTCTCCATGACAGTTGCACTAACAGAAATTACATGTTTACATGCCGCCACAATGAACATACTTGACTCAGTCGGTAGAACAGCCTTGTACAAACACACGACTGAGCTACTGACACAAAGCTGCCAGGAAGACAGCGTCATGGGAAATGCCATGTTCACAGTACACAGCATGATCTCTGCTTTAAAAATTTTGATAAACATTCAGACTAAGTCAAAGACCCACAATGACTACAAGGACATTTTAAGTGCCCACAATGAAGTGATGCTACAGAACTGAGACCCTGGTGACAGCAGTTATCAGTCAGCAATGGCCGTATGCTCATTCCAGAGGGCAGGAGACGGAGACACCGACTCTGGTCAGCAGCCTGGGGAAAGCGCTCGCGTGCAAAGGGAAGAACAAGGAGACACACTCCCAGCCTCGACGTGGCTTCATGTCCAGACCTCTTCAGGGATCCTGCAGATGCCACCCGCTGCCCAGTTCGTGGTCTAGCACCTGGAGGCTGAGGAAACTTCTAGCCTGTGCAGCCTGGCAGCAGCCCGAATCCTCCCTTCACACCTGTCTCCAGCTCGCCAGCTAAGCCACAGGCATCTCTGCAGGGCGCCTCACAGGATCGGTGTGGAAGAGGATGTTGGTTAAAGCATACCTCTGCTGTTATTCATTCTTCTTCTTTTTAACACATATTTTAAAATTTATTTTATTTCAGAGGCAGAGAGCAAGCTCCCAATTGTTACTGGGGCCCCCACCACTGTCTGCCAGAGTGTGCATTAGCAGGCGGTGCAGTCAGGAGCAGGCTGGGACCTCCAACCTGGGTTGTGGGCTTTACCTGCCAGGCTGGGCACCTCCTCCCACACCCTCTTTTACCGTGAGCCTCAACCAGAACAAGCCACACTCTGCGCACATCACAGGCTTCTCTGGTACCCTCCAGAGTAACTGAGCCCAGAGGGAAGCAGAGAGCCAGGTCCAGCAACTGTCCTGGTGGGAGCACAAGGGGCAGTGCTGCCATTCTGACCAGAGAAAGGTGCAGTGAGGACGGGTCAGCGTGCCACAGCATGAGCCAGCCAGGCAGATTTCTTGTTTTGTGGCCTGGGCATGGTCCCTAGCCTAAGAAAGCTGCCTGCCCTTTGTACCCTTGCCATCCATTGGTCCACCTGTCTCCTGCCATAGACCACACCCGCAGTATGTGCAGCCTTGGTGCCCTGCCTGCTCTTACTCACCCAGCTCCCACCAGCAGCCTGGAGGTGGGCCTGAGGGGTGGGAAGGACCAGGGAAGGCAGTGGCACATGCTCTCAGGACTTGGCCGAGCCTGCTGCTGGCCAACCTGGAGTCAGCAGCACGGTGCTTACCTCATCACTGGGGTCATAATATTGCTCCAGATAGGGATGCGCCAGAGCCTGCTCGACTTCGATCCTCTTGTGGGGGTTGAATGTCAACATTTTGTCCAGCAAGTCCAGAGCTGCCAAGAGAAAGGTTTTGTAGTGGTAAAAGGCAGAAGCAATTGCCGGAAATACTTTCCACTTAGTGTATAAGTAAACAGATTGGCAACATCACTGAGCTCAGCTTGTAGGAACCACCACAGGGATGGCAGTCCATCCTCTGGGTGCTTACTGTGGCCATGGCTCCGTCTCCTGGTGCTGTGGTGCCACCTGACTGCTACCGACCCTGGTGCTCACAGGGGCCTGGCCATCAGCCAGAAGCTCCAGGAAGAAGGTCAAGAATCAACCTACAAAAATCTTTCCTAGGGTCCGACGCAGTGGCGCAAGTGGTTAAGGTCCTCGCCTTGCATGCCCCGGGATCCCATGTGGGCACCGGTTCTAATCCCGGCAGCCCCGCTTCCCTTCCAGCTCCCTGCCTGTGGCCCGGGAAAGCAGTCGAGGACGACCCAAAGCTTTGGGACCCTGCACCCGCGTGGGAGACCCAGAAGAGGCTCCTGGCTTCGGATCGGCATAGATCAGCTGTTGCGCTCACTTGGGGAGTAAATCATCGGACGGAAGATCTTCCTCTCTGTCTCTCCTCTCTGTATATCCGCCTTTCCAATAAAAAACAAAAAACAAAACAAAACAAAAAACCTTACCCCATCTCTTAAAAAAAAAAATCTTTCCTAGAGGTTGGCCTGACAGATTAAGCCTCTGCCTGCAGCACCAGCATCCTATGGGCATTGTGTGAGTCCCAGAGGCTTCACTTCTTTTTCTTTCTTTTTTTTTTAAAGACGTACTGATTTTTATTGGAAAAGCAGATTTAAAGAAAGAGATACAGAGAGAAAGATCTCCAGTTTGCTTGTTCACTCCCTAAGTGGCTGCAGTGGCCAAAGCTAAACTGATTCAAAGTCAGGAGCCAGAAGCTTCTTCTGGGTCTCCTGTGTGGATGCAGGGTCCCAACACTTTGGGCCATCTTCTACTGCTTTCCCAGGCCACAAGCAGGGCGCTGGATGGGAAGTGGAGCAGCCGGGATATGAACATGGGATGCTAGTGCATGCAAAGTGAGAATTTAGTTGCCAGGCCCAAGGCTTCACTTCTGATCCAGCTCCCTACTAATGTGCTTGGGAAAGCAGCAGAGGATGGCCCAAGTGCACGGGTCCCTGGCACCCATGTGGAAATTTGTCCATGCGGAAACTTGCAAGAACCTCCTGGCTCTTGACTTTAGACCAGCCCAGCTCTGGCTGTTTTAGCCATTCAGGGAGTGAAACAGCAGTTGGAAGAATCTGTTTTTCCTTCCTTCTCTGTAACAGTGCTTTCCAAATGAAAATAAGACAGCTCTTTAAAACCTTTCTTAAATCACTACTGTATTTACAGTATCAAAAGCAATGGCCCACGGGCAACACTATTGTCTCAGCCTGGCCAGCGGTCAGCCAACAGGTAGGTGATTCTTTCACATCAAGGGGCCAGCTAATGAACAGCTTAGCTGGATCGCCTCTGTGGCTGGCGGCCAGGCCCCACCTCAGGTCACAAGGGTGGCTACCGGGCCCGACTAACATCACCTGGGACAAAGGCTGGGGGAAACACACCCAGGCACTTCGGTACTGAGCGCAGGGTTAGTTCTTGGGAAACCACACACACGGCTCTTGTTCTTGTTCCAGGAAAGATACAGCAAGAGGGGTTTCCTTTAGAAACTGTCGACTCCCATTCCCGTTTTTCCCCTTTCAGTTTCTGATCCTCAGAGCACCGGTTTTCACCTTAAGCAGTAGGTCCTTTTCCCAGATGAAACCTTGACAGGAGCCTCCAGAATATGAAACACACAAGAAAGGAATGCCCTGAACTCTCCTAAAGGGCCCTGGCTCACAGACCCTGAGGCCAAGATCAAAATCCACTGCAGGTCTGGAAAACCAGCATTAAAGAACATGACTATGCAGCAAGTGTAGTGACACCAAACCAAGCAAACGTGAGGCTTCCTTAGGCCACCTGCAGGTGGTTAACACCTACTGCCACACGGAGAATGGGCAGGGATCACGCAAAAACCGCAATGTCAAATTTGGCATGTTAAGCGTTCATGATCATTTTAAGAATCACTTCTAAGGGACTGGCACCAGAGTGTAGCACACTCTGCATGCGACACCACTTCGAGTCTTAGCTGCTCCAGCTCCTTGATAATGACCTGGAAAAGCAGCAGAGGATGACCCAAGTCCTTGGGCCCCTGCACGCATGTGGGAGGCCTGGAAGAAGCTCCTGGCTTAGGACCAGCCAAACTGACTTACAATCACTTGGGGGAATGAATCAAGTGGATGGAAGTTTTCTTTCAAATAGAAAAATAAACAAAAATCTTCAAAACACGAGACAAAAAGAGCTCAAGGGAGCTGGGAACCAGCCAGGGCAGGCCTCCCCGGCCCTGCTCCACTTCTTTCAGAGGAGCGCAGATATCTGATCCTAGGAGGCATTGCTGGTGCTGTTGGGCTTCAGGAGGCTGGGGGCTTTGCCTTCTTTTTTTAAGATGTATTTTATTTTTAATTTATTTTATTTTTATTGGAAAGTTAGATATACAGAGAAAGGGAGAGACAGGGAGTAAGATCCTCCGTCTGATGATTCACTCCCCAAGTGAGTGCAACGGCCAATGCTATGCCGATGTGAAGTCAGGATCCAGGAACTTCTTCCAGGTCTCCCACAGAGATGCAGGGTCCCAAGGCTTTGGGCCGTCCTTGACTGCTTTCCCAGGCCACAAGCAGGGAGGTGGAGTGGCCGGGATATGAACGGGTGCCCATATGGGATCTCAGTAGTTGTAAGGCGAGGACATTAGTCACTAGGCTACTGCACCGGGACTGAGGGCTCTGCTTTTACAGGCTGGAGGACACTCCAGGGCACAGGATGCTGGGAGGACTCCAGGGAGGTCTGGCCCCCAGCTGGGTGGCCAGGCAGAGTAAGGATAAGGCAGCACAAGGGTCACACACTTTGGACCCTGTGGCTTGAATCCCAGTGCCACAGAATCCTGGGGAGATGTGAGGACAGGAGCTTTGGGCGTGTTGGGAGACCTTAGATCTCTAGTGTCTACAATGCAGGTAATAAAATTTACTGCACTTCCTGCTTTCAGCCTCGGGCCTCTCCCCCTGCTGAAAGTCAGATACCTCCTCCAGGACTTTCTGGAAAATTGAAGTCATTTGGCCTTGTGTCCAGTTAGACCATGTCTGTGCTAGGAACAGCCAGGAGGATTTGATCATGGTCCGATTCCAACAGCTGTCTCTTGCTGCTGGGTTGAAGGAAGCATCAAGGCCACTGCATGTGTAGAGCGCAAGGCAACACAGATCTCACACAGACCTGTCTGTCCTGCTAAGTTCAATTCTAGGTTCTTAAACCTCTTAGCAAAAATTTTTACCCGCAGGCCCTGGCTCTACTTGGTGCCCACCCTGAATTCCACACCTTCTGACTTGAAAGGGTGCATGGCAACCTTTCACCATCCCCCCCCACTCACCAGCTGTCTTGTCCCAGCTCAGCCCTAGGAGAGGCCATCGGCTCAGCTCCACAGAACTTCTCTGGATTCACCTGCCTGGTCTAACAAAACTAATCCTCAACAACACTGTTACCTGTGACCTCCACCGGCCACTCTGGGCAGAGCTGGAGAGGGACCAAACTGTCCCTTGTTCTGCTCCACCAGCCCTCATACACTTCAAGCCCTCGGGGCCTTCCCACACTCGTCAGCCGACTAAAAAAGGCAACCGAACTTGGCTCACAGCCCTGACGGTTGCACTATTGCTGTTAGGGAAACCCTGTATTCAGAGGAATGCAGGAGGAATGCTCAGTGCCCATTCCGCTGCTTGGTCATGTAGCTTACTGCAGATCACGCACAGAGCATGGAAAGACCACAGGGAGCGTGCTCTCTGCTGTACTTTGGCAAGAACCTCCTTGTGTGCAGCTGGCAACGGCTTTTTTTTTTTTTTTTAGCAGGAAGGCTAAAGCAGAAGGAGTCTAAGGGCCGCCCCAGAGCCTGGTCCCAGGGCTGAGATGCTCACTGTCCCACCCACTGCTGCTTCTGTGACAACATGGAGAGTGTGTCTTAGCTCTTTTATGAGAGCTCTGGCCTCAGGGACATGGTGAGAGGACCCATGGGTTTCAGGGACACAAGGAGTGCATTACCCAGGTTCCTGTCACCTGACCTTCCACAATCTCCTAGCCACTGAGAAATCAACCTGCCAGAACAGAGTTGGCCTCTCCCTCACCTAGACCTGCCCCAACCCAGGGCCTGCCCACGAGCCCTTCCCCCTCCAGGAACTAGCCCTCTCTGCCTTCCCAGTCCCCTTCATGCTTCCACTGATCTTGCTGGGCCGCCCACCCCTTCCAGCCTGTGTCCTGGGAATCCCCAACTGCAGGGACACTGCAGGGACTCTCGCTTCGAATGCCATCTTCTATTTCAGCCAAACTGTGATGCCTGGGGTCCCTATCCCCTCATTCATGGATGGTGCTGTTCTCCAATTCCAGCAGCCTCTTTCTGCCACCTTCCCAACCTTGCACTTGCCTTTGCAGGTAGGCACGAACAGCTCCTGGACACCTCAGGGTGACTGACCTGCTCTAGGTGAGTGACCATGAATGCGCCCAGAAGCACGTGCTCATAGCCTAGGACCCGTTTACAACGGCAGAGAGCTTCTGGTACCTGTGGTGGGCAGGAGCGGTGAGTGACCACGACAGCGCCCAGAACTATGTGCGCACAGCCTAGGACCCACCTACGAATAGCTGCAGGCTTCTGGCATCTGTGGTGGGCAGGAATGGTCTAATCACTTTTCAGATTATCTGAGACATGTGCAACTTTCTGTACAAAACGCATTTTTCTCTTACATTTAAAAACCATGGAGAACACAAAATTTCCCATCTTTCTTCACAGCGTGTGTCGTCTGGTTCTGCCTGCCAACGTCCACGGCTGCTCTAAGCACCTCAAACTGTGCTGGCTGTCGGCAGCGCCTAGCTTGCCTACACATCTTGGCAGTATCAGGGAATGGCGATGCTGACTTTGACACGTGCACCTGGGTTCCTCGGCTGT